CCGGAAAGTTACTGCTGGTAAGCGAGAGAGAGAGCCAAAAACAGAGAGAGACAGAGAGAGAGAGAGAAAGAGAGAGAGAGAGAGAGAGCACTTGTCGACACAGCATAGTCTCTCACAATTAATGACCTCAACTACAAATAGCCACCATCATAAATAACCCCAGAGGCAACGCCCAGGTACACAGAGGTGGAAACACAAGGGATGTGGACAGGTACTTGCACAGGTACCGAGTATACACACACTCCCCCAAAAAAACTATCTGTACTTGGGGTGATCGATGTATTTCAGAATGAACACTGTGACTCGTATTGTCTTGGTAGGGATGTCAAAATCCTTCGTCCGTTGTGTCATATTATTTCAACACAATTCGGTATAGATACTTTTTTTGAGTAAGTGTGTATAGAGTTCTTCCTTCCTCATTCCTATTCCTCTCCTTCCTGACCTTCAACCTTGGCTATAATATAAGAAAATAATCTATAGAGACATTATAAGATTATAACCATCCTTCATTAGACTTTCAGTGGCCCTTAACCTCTGTCTAACCATCAGCTTCATTAGACATTCAGTGGCCCTTAACCTCTGTCTAACCATCATTGAGGACGCATTAACCACTTAAGGATAAAACTGCTACACTATTTAACCCTCACCATGCGGCCCCACGAGGCTACACACATAACAGTTTACATCTAGATAAACTATACATGTAAACCTTATCGAGTTCCCCGAGGTAAACCTGTGTTATCATTCTGGTTTAATCAAGGTTTGAGCCTCACTTATGTATCAGGGAACATGACACTTATTTCCCGTTTGTGTTAGAGAGAAAGAAAGAGAGAGAGAGAGAGACGGGGACAGACAGACAGAAAGACAGATAAACAGAGAAGATAAACTGCTATACCTGTTATAAGAGATAAATCAAGAGGCAGATCTCTACACGTGATCATTTATACTGGCGTTTATTCACCTCTCCCACTCCACCACCACTCACTTCCCTCTCCCACTCCATCCCACCCACTTCTCCTCTCCCACTCCACCACCACTCACTTCTCCTCTACCACTCCACCACCACTCACTTCCCTCCACCACTCCACCCCCTCACTTCCCTCTACCCTCCATCCCCTCACTTCCCTCCCTCCATCCACCCACTTCTCCTCTACCACTCCACCACCACTCACTTCCCTCTACCCTCCCCACCACTCACTTCCCTCTACCACTACACCCCACTCACTTCCCTCTACCCTCCACCACCACCACTTCCTCCACCCTCCACCTCACTTTCCTCTACCACTACACCCACTCACTTCCCTCTACCCACCCCACTTCCCTCTCCCATTCCACCCCCACCCTTCTCTCCCCATTCCACCCTTCTCTCTCCATTCCCCCCACCCACTTCTCTCTCCCTCCACCCCTCACTTCCCTCTACCTCCACCACCACTTCCCTCTCCACTCACACCCTCCATCCCTCACTTCCCTCTCCCTCCATCCCCCCTTCTCCTCTACCACTCCTACCACTTCCCTCTACCACTCCACCACTCACTTCCTCTACCACCACCCCACTCACTTCCTCTACCGCTACACCCCACTCCTTCCCTCTCCCATTCCACCCCACCCTTCTCTCCCATTCCACCCACCCACTTCTCTCCCATTCCACCCCCACCCACTTCTCTCTCCCATTCCACCCACCTCCTTCCCTCTCCCCTCCACCCCACCCTTCCCTCTCCCCTCCCCACCACTTCCCTCTCCTCCACCACCCCCCTCTCCTCCACCCACCTTCCTCTCCCCACCTCACTTCCCTCTACCACTCCACCCCTCACCCACCCTCTCCACCACCACCCACTTCCTCTCCCCTCCACCCCTCACTTCCCTCTCCACCACCACTCACTTTCCTCTCCCTCCACCACCACCCACTTCCCTCTCCTCCACCCCTCACTTCCTCTACCACTCCACCCCACTCCTTCCCTCTCCACCACCACCCACTTCCCTCTCCCTCCACCCCTCACTTCCCTCTCCCACATGCTGTTACTGTAGTTAAGGAATATGGAGGTGGAAGTGTCGGGATACCTGTAGTTAAGAATGAAAACATCAAGACACCTGAAATGAAAAGTCCCCACGAAAATAAATCGATTCGAGATATAATGAATTTTATTTCACTAGGGAACTGAACTAGACTTAGGGTTAGGTTTGGTTAGGTTAGGTCGTGGTTAAGTTTGGTTAGGTTAGGTTAGGTTAGGTTAGATTGGTTAGGTTATGTTAGGTTATGTTAGGTTAGGTTAGGTTGTGGTTAGGTTGGATTGGTTAGGTTTGGTTAGGTTAGGTTAGGTTAGGTTAGGTTAGGTTGTGGTTAGGTTTGGTTCGGTTGTGGTTAGGTTTGGTTAGGTTGGGTCGTGATTTAATTAAGTTAGATAAGGTTTAGTTGTGCTAGCTCGTGGTTTTGTTTGGTTTGGTTTGATCTCCAACATACCCAAGCAGCTCTTAATAGATCTCAGCAGACCCCAGCAGATCTCAGCAGACCCTAGCAGAGTTTTCTCCTCAAAACATTCTTCAACATAAAACACTGCTATGTTTTTGTTCCTTGGAATGAAATATGTGTCATCCAACCAGCTTACCTGACCTCACTCCCTTCCTCTCTTCCTCTCTTCGTCCCTCCCTCCCTCCCTCAGACCCTCCCTCTCTTCCTCTCTTCCTCTCTTCGTCCCTCCTCCCTCCTCCCTCCCTCCCTCCCTCCCTCGTGACCCTCCCTCTCTTCGTCTCCCTCCCTCCCTCAGACCCTCCCTCCCTCCCTCAGACCCTCCCTCTCTTCGTCTCTTCCTCCTTCCCTCCCTCCTCCCTCCCTCCCTCAGACCCCTCCCCTCCTCCCTCAGACCCTCCCTCTCTTCGTTCTCTTTTCCCTCCTTCCCTCCCTCAACACTTACCAGACCCTCCCTTTCCTTCCCTCTCTCTTCCTCTCTTCGTCCCTCCCTCCCTTCCTCCCTCACTCACTCAGACCCTCCCTCCCTCCCTCACTCACACCCTCCCTTCCTTCGTCTCTTCCCTCCTTTCCTCCCTCACTCACTCCCTCACTCATTCCTCCCTCCCTCCACCAATGACATTACACTAATTCTTGGCTTTGTTCCATTTTTAAAGAGGTTTACATCTCCCTCTCACAGAGTCTCCCTCTCCATTATCTCTCCCTCTCTTCCCACTCTTACTTAGGGTGGATTAAGAGGGAAGAGAAGACTTAAAGAAGAGGGGAGAAACAGGAGAGAGTGGTGAATGAAGTGTGTAGAAAGAGAAAGCTAAGAAATCAAACGATATAAATACAACTATCCACAAATACTCCGGTACCCATTTGCATAACAGTCATTCTATAATTTTCTCATTTCAATTAAACAGAAATTAATATTGTTATTTTTTTTTATTCTACAAAACACAATGAGAGTTTTTTTTTTTGCTGAATTCAGAAAAAATTCTTAGACAAAAATATCACCTGGTGTTTGTATGTTTTTTAAGTAATTAACCTGTATGACACCTGGAGCGCACCTGGTCACTCTAATTAATCTAATAAAAGAAATACTAATAAAAGATACTTAAAAACAAGTTACTTGTTTAATCAAATATACTTAAAAGGGAGCTACTTATTCACGAATCCAGTAATCGGGTTAAGTTATCGATTACACTTATTAAATCATGTTTAAAATATAGTGAAGATAAATTTATCAGGTAAAATATTTAAGTCATTTTGTTGATAATAACTAAATGGTTAATGAAGAATGTTGACTCTCTCTCTCTCTCTCTCTCTCTCTCTCTCTCTCTCTCTCTCTCTCTCTCTCTCTCTCTCTCTCTCTCTCTCTCTCTCTCTCTCTCTCTCTCTATTTGTCGTCTATATTTAGTTACTGATTAACATGCATCTATTACCTCCTCTTTTTTCTATCTCTCCCTCTCCCTCTCCCTCTCCCTCTCTCTCTTTCTTCTCTTCCCTCTCTCTCCCTCATTATCTTTACTTCCTTTCCATGACCGTCTTCTTTCACTTTTTCCTCCTCCTCCTCCTCCTCCTCCTCTTCCTCCCCCTCCCCCTCCTCCTTATCTTCACCCTCGCTATCTCTCTCTCCTCCTTTCTTACACTGTTATTTTTTCTCTTCTGTCTTCCTCCTCCTCCTCCTCCTCCTCCTCCTCCTCCTCCTCCTCCTCCTCCTCCTCCTCCTCCTCCTCCTCCGCCTCCTCCCTCGTAGCTCCTGTAAATCCAGCTCAAGGTGTAGTTATTATGTCACTTTAAATGACTACTCTCCATGTGACATATAGAGATCACCACCTGTGACGTTACTCAAGTGTGTGTCGGTCTGTAAACACCTTTGGCTTATACTTCCATTGTCTGTGTGTCTGTCTGTGTGTCTTATTTGTCTGGTCTGTCTGTTTGGTAATTCCTGTCACTTCTGATCTAAACAGCTGTCATTTGTGCTCTTGTTCTCTCTGTCTGTCTGTCTATCTGTCAATAAAGCGTCATTTTTTGTTTTTATTCTGTCTCTCTATTTGTTAATATCTCTGTCACCTCTGCTCTCATTTCCTTCGTCATCACCTGTCACTTCCACTCTTATTCTCCCTGTCTACCTGTCAACACCTGTCAACTGTAATGTAACTCTATTAAATAATTTATGTTACGGTCCATGATTACTATTGCCTGTCCCTAATGAATATATAATATATTACCTGTCTCTCTCTCTCTCTCTCTCTCTCTCTCTCTCTCTCTCTCTCTCTCTCTCTCTCTCTCTCTCTCTCTCTCGTATGTTCCTAACTTAGAACCGCTTTCTCTACCATATAACACTCCAACTTATTTCACATAAAGATTAGGCAGAATAACCTAACCTAACCTAACCTAACACACCTCAACCAAACCTAACACACCCTATCCTATCCTACACCTAACCCAAGCTAACACACCATAACCCAACACACCCTAACACACCCTAACAGCAAACCCCCCCACCCCACCCCTACCACATCAACAAAGCTTACTACTTAACACTTACTGTCAGGCGCCCAGGTAACGTGAAGGTCCAGGAGCCAATGATCGAACCATCCTGTCCAGAACTCCATGACCATCAGTGGACGATCGGGTTGTAGCCTCTTGAGTTCGTTCAAGTTCTCCGTTACACCGCTCTTGAAGTTTGCCGTCATCAACACTGCCGGAGAGAGAGAGAGTGAGAGAGAGAGAGAGAGAGAGAGAGACAGAGAGAGAGAGAGAGAGAGAGAGAGAGAGAGAGGAATGGTTGGTTGATAATTTAATTGTTTAAGGTAGGTATTTTTTGGTTATGTTATAGGAGAGAGAGAGAGAGAGAAAGAAAGAAAGAAAGAAAGAAAGAAAGAAAGAAAGAAAGAAAGAATTAAGGGCAGAGTAAATCCCCAATGGAAGATACGAGCTCCAGATGGATTACGGAGACAAGAAAATCCGATATGAAGGGGATTGGGATTTATGAGGGAGTTCCATCACCTCCCTGATACTGGCAGAGAGAGAGAGAGAGAGAGAGAGAGAGAGAGAGAGAGAGAGAGAGAGAGAGAGAGAGAGAGAGAGTAGCTTGATAGAGAGAAAGTGAGAGAAAAATTGTTTGAGAGAGAGATAAGAGAGAAAGAGATAAGAGAGAGAGATAGGAAGAAAGTAGTTTGAGAAACATATAACCTGAAAGAAAAAGGACACACGGACGGACAGACTGACAGACAGACAGACACACGGTCAGATAGGACAAACAGGACAAACAGACAGACAGACAGACAGAAAGACAGAGAGACAGACAGACAGACAAAAGAGGAAACTAACATCATCATATCTCTTCAGTGGAATCTCTTTCAGGCCGCTCACTTAAAAATGAAAGATGAACTTGGATAAATGGGCCGAAGACCACGACTTCTTACGCCCGCCGCCACCACCACCACCACGAGAGAGGAGAACGGGCCATGGTGAACTGGGTGAGGGAGGGAGGTGAGGGAGAGAGGGGTGAGGGAGGGAGGTGAGGGAGAGAGGTGAGGGAGAGAGGGGTGAGGGAGGTGGTGTAGGTAGGGAAAGAGGGAATAATCAGTACCTGGCCACCATCAACCATAACAGGAAATGTCTTATATACATACATACATACATACATACATACATACATACATACATACATACATACATACATACATACATACATACATACATACATACATACATACATACATACAGTGACTAGAAGGAATGAAGTTACGAGCTAAGGACACCAGGAATCCAAAGTTTAAAAAGAAAGTCCAAAGTTACTAGAGATGAAAAAAAAACATTCCGGCATTTTTTTTTTACGATAAACATTTGTGGAAACTCGACATAATAATCCTCAATTGAAGAAGAAGAAGAAGAAGAAGAAAATCGAACTTTGTCTTGTGGTAATGACTAGGTTAGGTTAGATTAGGTTAGGTTAGGTTAGGTTAGGTTTGGTTAGGTTAAACTCCCACCTCATCTATGCCATTTAACCTATACTTAACACCTAAATCCCTACTATTAACACCTGAATTAAACTTCCTGAATCTGTGAGCGATATGAATTTTTCTGAAACTCGACTGAACGTTGCTGGTAATCTCCTTTTGGTCTTCTGGGGAGCCGAACCCCACAAGTTACAGCGACAAGAACAACTCACGTGTGTCAGAGGAAATGATCAACAGAGTGTAAAGTTATACCACAAGAAGCTGGGGCGTCTTAAACAGTGAGACAAACAGACAGACAGAGAGACAGGTAGGCACATACAGA